AGGTAGTAATGCAACCACAGAATGAATGCCTGATTGCTTTCAAGAATATCTACTCTGGCCAAGATGAGAAAAACAAACTTGTTTACAAAGGTTCCAAAATTCCCGATCTATAAACCCTGCAGTTTGCTGCTTCCCTCAAACCATGCAGCATTCAATAGCATTGTAAATTATGATAAAAAAATTGAAGAATAAATTTAAGCCCTTGGGTCCCAGAATTGATTTGTGTTATGCGTTTCAAGACTTTGATTTATTAAGAAGCATGTTGTTGATTAATATGTTTTGAATATATTGTAAGAAGTGAAGAGGACTATTTTAGGATAGATATTCACTGTCCTTATATAATTTTTTCATCCATTTTATTTAAAAAAAATAAATTTGGCTTAGAAAGGTCAGATTTCCTTATGCCAATAACAACAATGGTTATAAGGGTAATGTTAAAAATATATATGCTCGCACATCCCATTCACGGAATGACTTCTGCTTGCACAATGGAACATTTCCTCTCTGTCCTCTCATGCACCCCACATTTTCTCTAGATTGGAGGAAAAGCCAGAGTATATTTAGAGAGGAAAGTAGAGGAACAGGCAGTTTCATTGCACAAGCAGAAGTCCTTGTTCAAATGGGATTACTTCAGTGGCTACAACCCACTCCTCCTGACTTCAGTACAACCATTCACACATGGCTGGTGGATGCTAAACCTAGAGGCAGTGCCTAGGAAGTCACATGAGTGGTACTCACATGGGCAGTGCATGAGAGCTTCCCATTCTCCTCCTTCGAAAAAGAAACAATGCACACTTAAACAGTATAGTTGTATAAGTACTTAGTACCTAAAGTGTTTTGCCTTACTTAAGAAGGCTTTCCTGCTGTCACAGCTATTTCTAGGCCAGGGAAACTTGCTTGTGGCCTCTACATCTTCTGTTTCTCACCCTATCCATCTTCTTGTTTGTAAAGAAACAAGAGACACTTAACAAGCACAAGAGTACAATTGTTTGCCATCTAACTACACTGAAAAGTGTCATACCTTGATTCCATAGAGGTTTAATCCTATGTACACATACCATATGTGACAATAAGTTTTTCTTTTGCATAATGTACATCTGGCAGAAAAATAAATGATTTCATTAAAGAATAATTTTTAGGGTTAGGATTAGCATTTTGCCCCAGTCTTCAGCCTTAAATAATTCCCAGAGTTGCTTACAATAACCAGTAATATCCAAATAAGAGTAGGCAAAGCCTAGTCTATTCTCCTACCTGTGGGATGGCCCTCCAGATGAGAGGGAAAAGGTCTACCAGCTCCTTCTGAACATCACTAGCTACTAGTTGTTTCTATGTCAATTCAATCAATGCTTTAGACATGCAAATGTGACAGTCATTTTTTGGCAAGCAATTTGTCCTAATGTAATGCAACTGTGTATGATAATTTCACTAATTTATGCCCTTATTATTATTAATGCACACTTTTACCAATTTACTCATTTTTGTGCGCATTATTGGTTAGACAGCTGTCTCACAAAATTTGGATAAGTGTGGATTTCAAGGATACCTACATTTAGGGTTATATATTATTTCAGGAAGTGCAAATATATATCAAAATGTAAACCAAACTAAAAATTTCCACACACACCATTTTTATAGACCCACTTATTTCCAGTGAAAATAAATGGATATTTGGAGACGGGGGGGAAGGTGGGTGAATTCTAATATTTTGAGGAGGGGGCAGATAGCTTACTATGATTGACAAAGCAGCAGAGGACTACATTTTGCTCAATCTAAAATTGCTGCCATTTCAAGGGGTGGTAGAGTTGAAATAAATGGCAGCTTGACAATGTTTGTTATTAACACCAGAATAGTTTAGTAGAAATGATACTGCATTATAGTATATAGAAAATGGGCATAATAATACTAATCCACCTTACAGGTTCAATATATATGAAACACTTTGAGCACTATACAAATGTGAAGTATTATTGCTGCCTACATCCTTTGGTTTAGAATGTGAATGTAAATTAAACTAAAAGGAAGAGATCATGATAAAGCATAGTTTTAAGGGGGGAACTGCTTTAACTTTTTCCAGGCACTTGATTACAGAAATCCTTTTCCACCCTATTTATACAGGGCCTGAGGCTGACGCTGAAATAAATCAAGAGTAATATTGCTGGCGCAACTTCATTGGCTTCCTAGTATTAAATAAGAAGGCGCCTCTTAGAGCATGTCCATTTAAGTCCGTCATTCCTGCAGATGGTCATTGAGTGCAACTTAATTCCACAGGAATTTAGTCAGTCAGGCCCAGTGACTAAACACAAGCCAGCCTTGTAAGGAAACAATAAAAGGAGCTTGTTTCCTTTTAGAAAATGGAGGGAAATGGCAGCACTGGTCTAAAACGAATTTGTGAACAGGAGTGTGACCACTGTATATGAGTCTCCAGTAAAATCTTTACAAGCATCTAGTTGAGGGAGTAATGCCAACACCATGATAAAGTTAATTAGCCAAAACTGTAAAAGTTTTTAATAGTGAACACCATACGAGACAATTTATACCACTTGGGAGTTTTCCTTGCACCCCTTGAGGGTTGTAATAAAAGCATGTTTTCTACACTGTGCCACTTATATCTGAAGTTGAAGGTGGGGGGAAAGCATGTTGCAACTTTTATACTTGAATCTTAGCAGAGGAGAGGGTTTGGAGGAGGTGGATACAATAATAAGCAGAGGGTTGAAAGCAGCCATGTATTCTTGAAATGAAATAAAGGCTCACATTTGCAGTGTTCTTGGTCATTCACTTAAGAATTGAAGCCCATCGTTTTCTTAAACAAAATGTCAATTGTCCTTCACATAAAGAACGATTAAGATTCTATCTTCTACTGTTTGATAAACCTCTCACATTCAGTGAGTGACTGAATGCTTCTCCCTTCAGTCAGCACAGTGCCAGGAATGGTTCCTTGCTTGAATAGGCTGACAGAAACTGTCTGTAACATGACAGTAAATGGGGAAAACCCGGCATGCATGTTCTGTAGGCACTTCAATGCTTCTGTATATGCAAGCAGCCTTGAATAAGCAAGCTGCTATGAATGTTGTTGATTAATTGTCCCTTGAGCAACACTTTAAGTTTCTGGACTAATATTCAAAGGTGTGCTTCCCCCCCGCCAAAAAAAACCTTATGGTACCCCAAAACTCCCACCATGTTCTTTGATTGCAATCTGAGGTGCACAAATGAAGGCAAACAAGGCCAATGAGAATATCAGCATATTGCCAAAATATACAAACTATTTAGTGAGGGGACTAAGGGGGTGTAACTCATCTGGAGCAGCCCATTGGGAAACACGTACACTAAATAGCTAAACATGCACCAATAAGGTCCAGCCACCAATTGCTAGAAACATATGTAAAGGTAAAGGTACCCCTGCCCGTACGGGCCAGTCTTGACAGACACTAGGGTTGTGCACCCATCTCACTCAAGAGGCCGGGGGCCAGCGCTGTCCGGAGACACTTCCGGGTCACGTGGCCAGCGTGACATCGCTGCTCTGGCGAGCCAGAGCCGCACACAGAAACACTGTTTACCTTCCCGCTAGTAAGCGGTCCCTATTTATCTACTTGCACTCGGAGGTGCTTTCAAACTGCTAGGTTGGCAGGCGCTGGGACCGAGCAACGGGAGCGCACCCCGCTGCGGGGATTCGAACCACCGACCTTTCGATCGGCAAGCCCTAGGCGCTGAGGCTTTTACCCACAGCGCCACCTGCGTCCCACTAGAAACATATGTATGTTCCTACAAAAAAGCTATATACTTTCATTCATTGTCCTCTTGCTATCTCACCATGTTGTTGTTTAGTCATCTTAGTCGCGTTTGACTCTCCATGACCCCATGAACCAGGGCATGCCTTGGAAACTCTCACTTTCTTCTCAAAGCTTCTCCTTTTATATGTCCATGGAGTTTTCTTGGCAAAATACTGGAGTGGTTTGCCAGTTCCTTCTCCAGGTGGATCACACTTAGTCTAAACTCTCAGCTATGACCTGTCCATCTTGGGTGGCCCTGCACGGCATAACTCATAGCTTCTTGGAGGTATTTAAGCCCCTTCACCATGACAAGGCAGTGATCCATGAAGGGGTATCTCACCATACTCAACTAGCAAATACCTGCTTTCTGTACCTTGCATAGTCCTGCTCTCTGAACACGTTCATCATCTCTATTAGTTTCCAGATTTTGAATTTATAATTTTCCTGATAATTCAATTATTCCATCAAAAGAAATGTGAACTACATTATTTTCTTAAAACCTGTTATAAAAACCAATGAATCATTTACCAAAACCCCCCACAAAAAACCCAATGAGTAATGGCAAGCAAAGGAAGGTTGCAGTCCCATACGCATGTCAGTGAGACTAAGTTCCACTGAACACAACAGGGCTTACTTCTTTGGAGACGTGTAGGATTGCAATGCAAAGATCTGAATATGGAAAAGGGAGGGAAATTATATATATTGACATAATGTGGGTTCAAATTATATAGCTTAGTATTTAGAGACCTCTGCAAATGTGAAGGTTTCAATTCTATTTTATTTTTAAAAGAAGGTGGGGGACTTGTTCCTTGGAGGTTTTTAAGCAGAGGCTGGATAGCCATGTATGAGCTAGTTGTGATTCCTGCATTGCGTTGGGTTGCAGGAGGTTGGACTAGATGACCCTCAGGATCCCTTCCAACTATACAATTCTATGATTCTTTCTTAAAAAGCCACTGTGTGGGTTCTCCATTCTCACTGATGGCTATAGAGCAGCTGTAATAAAAAATTACAAGTAATGAGTATTTGTCATAAACTCACAAGCAAATCAATGTTTATTGAAGGATTCTAGTCTGGATAAATATTGAATCTGTTGTTTGGAAATGGATTCATCCTTTCTTCAAGCATTTCCATTAGTAGAAGACAGAAGACAGATATAATTTCCTGGAATTCTGCAGAAGAGGAGAGAGATTTGAATAGAGAGCTTGGGAATGATTTGCTTTTGTTTCTTTGCAGATGACAATGAATGTACAAATGTCACACAACTTTGTGGAGAAAATGCCAACTGCACAAATACAGTAGGAAGTTACTACTGCATGTGCGTACCTGGATTCCGGTCGAGTAATCGTAATACCACCTTTGTGACCAATGATGGGACTTCTTGTGTAGGTAAGATACCAGGAGATATGCTTCTTTTGCTGCGTGTTTTCTCTGGTTCGATATAAACCACCAAAAATTGTATGGAACTGTAGAGCTTGAGTCTCTTGTTGCCAGTCATGAAACTTCTACTTAAATATTCCACTCTATTTTCATTCAGCTTCCGAATTATAAACTTGTAAATCCTGATATCCTCCCATAAACATGATTCAGTTAGTCTCAGCAAAACCTTTCTCAGTCATCCCACAAAGAACACAGGACATTTCAAGCATAATAGTTACACAAATAGTCTTTTCTGCCTTATCCTTTTTTGTCTACCATCCACTTGACTGGATAAGTAATAAGAAGGATTTCAACCTCATATTCCCTACCATGAATTGGGGAAAGGAGAGGCCGACCCCATAGCTGATGTTCTGAGGAAGTTAAATGGAGGTTTCATAGTCACCCATCATTGACATACCCTGTCCTGCTGGAATTGGAGCTCTAGAAAAGAGAAGGAAAAAGTGGGGTTTGGGTATCTGATAAGGTTGCAGGATAATATAGCTTACATTGCCCCATACCTGGGATTCAGACATAGCAGCGGGTGTAGCAGCAGGGCCCATTCCTGAGAGATGAGCCTTTGGAAATGGTCCTCCCAGTCCAAGCTTCTCAGAAGAACTGTGTTGACCAAGTTAACTTCATACGTCTTCATATTCACCTACTGTGTCTTCTCAGTAGCTGAAGGATCCAGGAGCCCAGTAGAAGTGCATTGAAACAGGAATATGGGGAGCTGCCTTATACCAAGTCAAACAATTGGTCCATGCATATCAGGATTGTCTACACTGGCTGGGTGTGGCTCTCCAGGGCTTGGGTGAGGTTCTCTCCCAGCCTTACCTTGGGAGGCTGGAACCTACAGTAGTGCATGCAAGGCAGGTGCTTAACACTGAGCTATGGCTATGGTGTTTCAAAGGACTCCCCACTCACTGCTGTATCAGGAACAGCTCTGTGCTTTTATTCATTACAGACATGGATATCTGCTGCCTTAAATTATAGTAAATGGAAAAGCTTGCCATGAACCCCATTTGTCTATTTAATATCCTATCAAGCTCAAACCACAGTTAACAAATAAAATAAACATAATATGCTGTAGTCTACCCATCTACAATATGTTACGCACTCTTTGGAATTTACATATCTGAAACAGAATATATTTAGGATATATATTGAATAAAAATATACTAGAAAAATGTATTTAACCATTTTATAGACCCAATGGATTCCTCTTTTCTGGAAGAACTATATATATTGTGTGTTGTTGTTTTTTCTTCTTCTGGCATTTTTTCTCATGATGCTGGGCTGCCCCCTCTGGGACTAGGGAAAACATCAATAAATCCACATTCTCTTGGCAAGTATATTATGCCTATGTTGATTGCAGCTTGTTTGAGATACATCTCTCACACTTTCTCGTACTGGTTAATTAATTCTTCTCATTGTACACCCAGTATAAGATAAATGCCTGCATTTTAGTCTATGGAGGTGACTGTTTAACTTTTTTTTTTTTTTTAGATTACTTCATACTTCTATGAAACTCTTTTTTATGAAACACTGTTGACCCGAATGTCATAAGCATTTTGTTCTTGATTTTGAGAATGTGAGACCCTGTTGTCCATAAATGGGATTCATGGCTTGATAGGAGATCACACAGAGAAAGTGGTGGTGGTGGTGGTGGTGGTGGTTGTTGTTGCATTGACAGGCGGAGACCCCCCAACCCCAGGCAACATCTGGGTGGAATAATGACTCATGACAATGTGCTATGGGATTAAAATTGGCCACAACTTTATTAAAAGATGCAGATGTAGGGAGATCTTGGCTTAGGCATTGGGCGTTTATCCCTCCCAGTGCCCAGTCGGGGATCTGGGGAACATCAGGGTTATCCTAAAGTGTGGAGATTGGGCTGGCTCTGGAAAACGTTTGTTTAAGCAGAGAGTCCGCCCCCCCCCATTTCACTGCAACACAGGGGAGAGCACTGAGAAGCTATCAGTGTATGGCCAATGATTCCCCTCAAAACAACCCCTTTAACGGGGAACCCTGGGATCGCCACTGTAGAGGGGGCATGGGTCACCGCTTCACGCCCCCCCATTTAGGGAATATAGAGTAAAGGATTCCGCCCAAGGCCTGAAACCGCCAAAGTTGTGAAGTTTTGCTACGGGGAAGGCTACAGGGAAATTCCTTCCCAGGCCTTTAACAGCAACCAATGATGTAGCAGCGCTCACACACCTGTGAAGAAGAGGTTAACCTGCAAAAGAAAGCATAACTGAGGGAGGGCAGGGTGGGAGAAGCTCTGGAGTCGATTGAGGACTCCCAGGTAAGTTCCACCCTCTATTGTGTGAGTAGGGCAGACCAGCTCCCCTGACAACACCTCCCCAGCTGGGATTGGTTAACTGTCTGAGGTTAGATGGGAACCTCCAGGTACCCAGCTTTGGGGGCGGGCGGGCGAAGCCAGGCAGTATTTCCGGGGGTCACGTAGGATCAGGAGGGGCTGTGTGCGACCACGCAAAAAGCGCCCCCCCCATTTGATGTGAGGAGTGGTTGTTGTTGTCGGCCAAAATTCCCAGGGCAGTTCAAAACAAGAAATACAAAATGAGAATACAAAATACATAATAAAACAAACAAAAACAACCCAATAATTCCCCTTCCCACAAACACATTTAACAAAAATGTATCTCTAGACTCAACAAAAAAAAAGCAGTTTTGAGAAGTACGTAAAGGTAAAAGGTAAAGGACCCCTGGACGGTTAAGTCCAGTCAAAAGTGACTATGGGGTTGTGGCGCCCATCTCGCTTTTGAGAAGTAGCAGAATATCAGTGGAAGACAAAATGGACACTGGCAGCACAATCCTATATATGGTTAATCCCATTGTGTTCAATGGGGATTGCTCTATTTAAGATTGCGGTTTCAGATCCTACATTGATCTTGTAATCTTTGACAGTCAGCCATGGCAGCACTTAATTGGTTAAGGGTGTGGAAATGTGAACAAGCTTGCTTAAAACCCGTCTTCTCCACTTCCCCCCTGCAAAAGATGATCAGAGCTGTCAGTGGTAGCCACCTGGTCGAGAGAGAAGAGATTATTGTGCAACCTGGCAACTTTCTATTTCACCTTAAACAGTACTGGGCTAACTGCAATATTCCTGGACTGCCACAGTAGGTTTATCTCATCAACGCCCAAATTATCAGCTGCTGCTGCTGCTCCTCATCCTCTGGCTATCACTTTCTGGTTGCTTGTCAGACAGAGCAAGCAGGGCATGGGATCTACTGCCCTTCCTTTTCTCCCCTATATCGTATGGGCTAGAGTGAGGAGCAGATAAACAAACAGGATCCAATGGTGAAGACAAAGGGTAGATCCAGGAGGTTCATGACAGTGTTCCCCCTGCTGGATGATGGGCATTTTGGCAGATGGCCAGCATGCTTGGGCATCCTTGAAGCTCGCCTTAGATTTCCAAAGACAATCTGATGTATTTTCTCATTGGCCTCAACTGGCCAGTCCTTGTGTAAGCAGTTCTTGAACTACACCTTGAGTTTATTAAAATTACGAATTATATGTTGGGGTGGGGAAGGAACTTATAATAAATGATTTATGGTGGTGATTAACTTCTTCCTTTTGTGCTTATAATTTTGAACTACGCTGAATTATGTATAACTATCTTTGCACAGTGTTTATCGCATTTGGGGAGAAAGTGCTGTTAGTATTAATTTATGCATTAATTTTTAATACTCTATTTATAAGTGCACTTCTAAACCTGATCGATATGCAGTATATTATTTTGTCACTCAGCTTAAAAGGCATTGCGGGCTGTTCCAAGTTTGTCTGTCCCTTGGTAGAAAGCCATTTATTTGTATTTAGGAATACAGCTTTCTTTTTTTTTTTTTGCAGCTGACATGAAGAGAAAAACCCTTGTAATAATAAACTGATCTCCGACTGATCTATTCAACCATTATGAAAAGGGATGTTTTGCCACGGTTTCCTTGTACTTGACACTTGCATTTTTTGACAAGTGAATCTATGTTGTAGCAGTGTGTTCTGCATTATCCTGCTTATCAAACTAGTCTTGTTTACAGTTTCCTACTATGCAGAGGTTACGTGGAGCCTATTCTTTTATCATGTCGAGAGAGGAAAGGGTGATGCTGCCTGTGGGAAATTTTAGCAATGATATTCCATGCAGCATGATAAATGGAAAGACATTGAGCTTTATATTGTGCCCCCTATCCTGGGATGGGTAAAGAGTGCTGGCTGGAGATCAGGATTTCAAGTGAGGGCAAGGCTGGGATTGAAGAGCTTTGAATCCTTCTCACGCCGCCCTGCCAGCCCTGAGTCACTTTGCGAGGCTGGGATCATTCAGTGTTCCCTGTGCCACCAGCATACCACCCTACACCACTGCAATAAATAAAACATACAAAAGTACACACACACACACCCGAACATCAGCATAGTGCATTTCTGTCACACAGGGAAACCACAGCTAGTCCTCGCACAATCGAGATTAGGGGCCAAGATTTCCTGTCAGGTACAGGTAGGTCCAGGGCCAGATTTAGGTTTGATGAGGCCCTAAGCTCCTGAAGGTAATGGTGCCCTTTATGCGTCTAGCTGTCCTTTGTCAACAACAAATTGTTGCTGTTTTTTGTGTTGAATATATGCTATATGGTAATTTATGGACCTAATAGGTATCTAAAGCCATTTGCACATAACAAAGTATGTATTTTATCAAAGTAATTGTTGGACTGAAATACAATTAAGAAGAAGTATATTAACAGTGAAATAATTATTAAGCTCTAACTTAAAATGAATTTTTATTCATAACAAACTTAATACAGTCATACCTCATGTTACGTTTGCTTCAGGTTGAGCATTTTCAGGTTGTGTCCCGCGGTGACCCAGAAGTACCGGAAAGGGTTACTTCCGGGTTTCACCGCTCACGCATGAGCACAAAATGATGTCACTTGCATGTGCAGAAGCGGCAAATCGCAACCCGAATGTACGCAGACACGGGTTGCGTTCTTTTCAGGTTGTGAACGGGCCTCTGGAACGGATGCCGTTCGCAACCAGAGGTACCACTGTAATGCAAACACATTGGCATTTGGCAATAACAAAAGTTCCTTTAGAAACACAGTTTATAAAGACTCATAATCTAGTCTCTAGAAATTTGCTATAACATGAAAAAATAATATGTGTAAATATATGATGCAAACTACTAATAATTATAAATAGCAGAATGTAGGCATGAGCAAACCAGTGATATCTTAGGGAGCAGGCTAGCAGGCGGGGCCCATTTCTTACATCATAGGGGCCTACACAACACAAAACACTGTTGCTGTATATAGGTTTTATTTTGTTTTTTTATCTTATATTTTGGAATTTTACATCCAGTTTTTTCGTCCTTTAATTTTTTGGGGGGCCCCAAGAGAGTGGGGCCCTAAGCTATAGCTTGTTTAGCTTATATGTATACATTATGTATGTATATGTATAGCTTATATGTATACATTATATATGTAGGTCTACTTTTCAGTCTCACTTGAGCCACACTACTATCTCCATTTTTTGAGATTTAGCCCTGCTCTCATTCCCTTGACTTTTATCCTACAAGGCACTATAATTGCCTAATTGCCACACGTGTTTCTGTTCCATTTGATCAATAGCTTAGCTTTCTGCTACTGCTGCTGCTTTTTTTAAAAAAAAAAAGATGTAGATGTGAAATTTCAATATGTGATTGCTTGCAGCACATCAGGCTACTACCAACAAAGCGGCAAGGTGTTAGTATGTAAAACCTTTTTTAAAATTCAATTTCTCACAATATTTGCAGATATAGATGAGTGCGCTGAACCAGTAACTGCTGCCTGTGGAGATCATGCGAAATGTGAAAATGTGTATGGAGGATATAACTGCTCCTGTAAGGAAGGTTATCAACCATCCACAGGAAAATTACAGTTTAAGCCAAATGATGGCACTTCCTGCCAAGGTAAATGATATTATAGAGCTTTATGTGTTATTATAAAACTATATCTTCTGAGAGGCCCACCGGTAACTCTTTATCTTCAGTTAGATTAATCAGCTGGATATAAAAAAGTGGCAAGATGTGAATACCTGCATTATTATTGTGCTTTTTAAAAGAGGGAGAAAAGACTGATAGGTGTGTTTGCTGAAAAATAGAAGTAGCCTGTCGTATATTATAAAATACAGAACTGATTTTCGTCTATTACTTACCAACCAAAGTCCATTAACCGTTAAGGGGTCAAATACGCTATATGACTGTAGCTTTGCTATTATCAATAGAGCCTTAGAGATATTCCAGAGTTGTGCTACACTTGAGTAAAGATTGGGCAAAACACGTAAACAGGAATGCTAACTTGGTACAATGAAATCACCTTTGCTTAATGCTTTCATGCACGTGTCTTTTTGGTTCAGATTGAATTTTTCGTCCAAGTCAGTTTAAATACAAGTGGCTTTTAAAATAAAAATTTAAAAATGCATTGACAAGTATCAATGCATTACAGTGAGTATGTGGCCATCACACATTTAACTGCACCTGCCATAACATGCAGTATTGCTTACCTCATGCTGTGGCATCACCATGATATACCATGTTTTCCTCACCCTCACTCCACAAAATTGGCTGCCACTGATTGGGGCAGAGAAATGCAGAATGTTGTGATGCCACAGCATGGATAGCATGGAGTTACAGTGCTGTTACCTCATAGGGTAGCCACACTTGTCGGTTTTGACCATTCAACATCTATCCCTAAAAGGTTCAATACAATCAAATTTACAAAACCACAAAAGAGAAAGAACAAAGCCAGGCATGTCACTGATTTTTTAAAGAAGCTTCATAATTAATCAGATGAGCTCCCATCTATTATTAAAGGTAAAGGGACCCATGACCATTAGGTCCAGTCGTGACCAACTCTGGTTTGTGGCGCTCATCTCGCTTTATTGGCTGAGGGAGCCGGCGTACAGCTTCCGGGTCATGTGGCCAGCATGACTAAGCTGCTTCTGGCGAACCAGAGCAGCACACGGAAACGCCGTTTACCTTCCCGCCGGAGCAGTACCTATTTATCTACTTGTACTTTTGATGTGTTTTCGAACTGCTAGGTTGGCAGGAGCCCATCTATTATTATAGCTACATAAATCTTAACTTTCATAAAACATTCCTGAATATATAAGAGCATTCTTAAAAATAAAAACAAAAAGTTCGTAAAAGTCACAGCAGTAGCAGCAGCTTAGAAAGGGCATTCTGCCCTGTGTGTGAAAGGAGGAGAAATACAACTTCTGAGAAGGTAGCTGCTATCCATGGCTTTGTAAATGCATTTAAAATAGGAGTGGGTGATATTCGTCTATTTTGTGTCCAATTCAATTTTGTATACATGCTGAGCATATGTGGTTTGGTACATATCTCTCCCCAAAGAGATTACCCTGTGTTCAATCCTGCACCTCACAGTTAGCTATGAATGAATATATGTCGAGCCATTCACAATGCCACATGCAAATCCAACCAAATTTAACAAAAAAAAAAGTATCTCTGGCTTTTAAAACATACCAAATGGGGAAGTCTGGAGCTTTAGTTATCAGCCAGACTGAAATGACTGTATGCCAAGACCTTAATATTCCCTTTTGATTTCAGCAGCAATCCCAGCGCCAAAGTGTGAACTGAACTATGACTGCATAGCTGAAAATATTAACAGAACCTTAGCCAAAGTAAGTAAGACTCGCATATTTATCTATTGTCAAATCTTATTTTTACTTTCCCTCTGTCCTGAAATGATACTGATAATATTTCTGGTACTACAATCTTAAGAAGATGGCAGCTGCAATGGCATACGTTACTCGGGCTGCAGGGCTGCCTGACAGTTGTGTTGGCATTATGGCTGCTTATTGCAGCATATCAGACCAGCAGCAGCCCACCTATGGTGCCACAACTGCCTCGGGCAGCAGGATCCATAGGGCAGTAGATGTGGCATTGCCCGCTGTTGCTGCCACCATTGTTCCTGATGTAGATCTTCACTTACCCCTTCTTTTCTGGTGGAGAGAGGCACCATTTTGTCATTCGTCTCAGGTGCCAAAATGTCTTGGACCAGCCCTGTATCTGGGACAGCCTATATTAGACACACCTGCTTGTACACTGGGTTTTCCAGATTTATTTTTACAGCTACCCTATATGGTACAGTCAATATGGAAAGATGGGTACCTACACAAGGCTACCCAGTGAGCCAGGTCTGGGGAACCTGTGTGCTTCCAGATATTATTCAACTACAGCTCTCATCATTCATTGGCCATGCTGATTGGGTCTGCTAGGAGCTGGAATCCAATGACAACAGGAGATCACAGATTTCCTACCCCTGCAGTAAGCCATGAATAGACTGAGACTTGAGCCTTCCAAGTCGACATCCAATATTCTATTCACTCTCTCATGTCGGCTCATCTTGTTAACTAATGTTGATAAATGAATATGAATGTATATGAATTTGACTGTAAATGTTAGGAATGTCATGCCTAATGATTTCAACTTTCTTTCAGATTAGAAAAATAAAAGAACCCCTGGCTGTATTACAAGAAATCAATCAAAACACTGTAGGGCAAATTTCACCTGTGGATGTGATTTCCTACATAGAAGCATTATCTGTATCTTCTCCCTTGCTAACCATCATGAATAACACGATTTCTGACAATGAAATGCTCTATAATCTAACTCTTAATGTAAGTGAATCGAGCCGTGCAGCAGATTTGATCTATTTTTGCAGGGTGGGGAGCAGTTATAAGATATAGTACATAACCTAAAGTACTTTTTTACTATTAATCTAACAGGAATTCATTAATACTGTGAACAATTTCGTTCAGAAGGATAAAACTGCAGCGTGGGAAGCTATCCCGGAAGTTAACAGAAGAAGAAGCCTCACTAAACTGCTGCATGCTGCAGAAGAAACCACGGCACTCATGTCACAGAGCTTTCAAAAGACAACAGAAGTGGAGGTTAATGCCAGTGATTTAGGTATGCAAAAGGGAGCAAATGATTTGAAAACTGTTCCCATTTTCCTTCCAGGACAGACTGTTGATATTGAAAGCAATGTTGTGTGAATGCCTTGCAGAGGCTGTTGTTGTAGAGTCTCAATTAAGACATCTGCCTTCACGCTATTCTTCTGTCCAGCTCTCTCTGTGTTTGGAAATCTAAAAGGTCTCTTCACTGTGCCTTCTGCATGTGTCTTCCAGGAGCTGCATCATGGCATCACAGGAACTCATATGAGATAGGTCAGCATCAGCCACAAAACTGAGACAGAGAGTTTGCAGTTGCCCATGGCTAGTTAGTGAGTAGTAACCACAGCTGTGCCATGCCATTGCAGAACTCAGTCTATTAGCATACAGATAAAGGTTAAGGACCCCTGGACGGTTAAGCCCAGTCGAATTTGATTATGAGGTGTGGCGCTCATCTCCACTTTCAGGTTGAGGGAGCCAGTGTTTGTCCACAGACAGCTTCTCCAGGTCATGTGGCCAGCATGACTAAACCGCTTCTGGCAATGGGACACCATGAAGCCTATTTATCTACCCATGCTTGTATGCTTTTGAACTGTTAGGTTGATGGGAGCTGGAATAGAGCAACGGGAGCTCACCCCGTTGTGTGGATTCGAACTGCCGAACATGTGATCGGCAAGCCCAAGACGCTCAGTGGTTTAGACTACAGCGCCACCTTCGTCCCATTAGCATACATCACCCAGCTCTTCATCTCAAAACTTCATCATAAAACTGCAACACTTCAACATAGAAGTGCATAAGCTGCAGGCAATCCCAAAAGGAATTAATTTTTAGGCTCTGAAATAGCTGCACACCTTTTCCCAGGTGGGTGAGGGTTTTGAAAACCCCCCCCCTCCTAGCTGCCATCCCTGGGTGGTCAGAGTTCATGTTGCCAGCTGGCTACCTGGGAATTTCTCTGGTTGGCCGGTCTGCTGGACGTGATTGCCCACCCAAACCTGAAGTTTAAATGGGCCAGTCCAGTCAAAGACTCTTATGGTTGGCCAGGCATTGTCTGCTTTCATGCCTGGCCAGCCAGAGATGCATGTAAGTCAGCTGTGCGGGACACCCTTGGCAAGAGGACATTTGCTGATATTTGGTTTGCTGGAAACTTCAGATCACAAGTGTGTGTGCTTTCTGTGCTATAAGTAACAGGCAGTCCAGCTAAGTAATTCCACCCCATTAGTCAAATGCTTGTTTTGCTTTGCTTTTAACTGTCTGATTGACCTTTCTGCTGCCTTATGGGTGACTGAAGCACTACATTGATCAGAGCAAAGCAACAAAAAGGACTCTATGCCCTCTAATGTCATTTTCTTTGTCCAGGGTGGTTCATATTAGGTTGCTTTCTTTGGTTTCAGCAACAGACATCATTAAAGCGCAGTGCAGCTGTACTCTGTGTAGCTGTATCTTTGTGTAGTAATAATAAAATATTCATTTCTACCTCCAAATATTATAAAATAAAAACTGTTCAATGGTGCTGTGCTTTTAAAGATGGCAATTGATATTCCATTTCAGAAATGCATTCATAATAAAAAGGTTGTTCCTTTGAAAGTAGTTTCCATTATTCTTTAGGAAATGCATTGAACGCAAAGCAAATTAGGGGCTGCATTTTTCCAAGGAAAGGTACAAAAATGGAAATAAAAGATTTGTGCCTACTAGAACTAACGAACTCCCGAACAAATATGAACCACACAATGGTGCGTGTATGCATGTGTGTGCATGCGTCTTCGCTCTTAAATTACCTGGCTGGACTTTGTGCTGACATCTGTAATAAATGTTCAGCTGAGTGTAAACCTAATTGCAGAAGTGTGAGGTTTAGTAGGCTGGGATGTAATTGTGATTTCCAAAGGAGTTTTCCCCCTTTCTTCTTTTCTTTTGCAGCTTTCAAAGTTCTTGCCTTTGATATACAGCGCATGGAGCACATTCACCAGCATGTGCAGTTGGGAGGAGAGATTATAAAGGTCTCTGCAAAGAAAAAGGAAGCAACTACTTCTAAAGGTTAGGGAGAGAAATGTGACTCCAGGAATAAGGCTATAGAAGTGAAGTTCAATGGGGTTTTCCAGAAGCCTCCTCTTTTGCAAAATTCAGGAAAGTAAATCCTTCAGGAGTGTTTGGGATAGCCAATCCCAATGATGCAATTTCAGTGATTTTTCAAAGGTATTTCACTAGAGATGCACCCTTGGCAAGGATCAAATCCCTGCTCTTGGAAATATTCAAAGCATAATTGCAAAGCAACAACAAAACAAACCTCTGGAATAGATCCAGTTAACTTCCATGAATGGACCTGTACACAGAAGGAGCCAAGGCCCAGTAGATGTTCTCTGCTAGGAAAAGTGGGGAGGTGATTTTCACTCATTTCCTCCTTCTCCCACCATCCCCCGAGCCACATTTTTTTTCTAGACTGCAAGCTTCTCCCAAACTCCTCAGAACAGATTTTCACTAGCACAGGGTTGGATCCAGAGTTCACATGAGCAGATTTCTTCTCAAAGGCAAAAACATGGTAGCTCAGTCAGTAGAGCATGAGACTCTCAGTCTCATGATTGTGGGTTCAAGCCTTACATTGGACAAAAAGATTCCTGCATTGAAGAAGGTTGGAATAGATGTTCCTCATGCTCACTTCCAACTCAATGATTCTATGACATCAGAGGAAAGGAGGGGCAGGTTTTGCTAGTTTCCTCCTCCCCGCAGCTTCCTGTTCCTCCTGAATATCTGCTCTGGAAGTTTGGGGGAGAGAACAGTGTGGGAGGTGGCACTGGGAGCTGCAGGAGCAATGGAGGAAATTGCCAAGAGCAACAACAAAATATTCCTCCTCATTTCAGCAAGTGCCTCTGCTGGACTTCAATGCCTTCTCTGAATCAAAGGAGCCCTTCCAGTCACAATAGGGAAAGTTTGGACCCATCTGCTTAATTTTGCATCACAAACACTCATTTTTAATACTGGTGGGTTATATTGTCTTGAGAGGCAGACATTCTTCACTGTCTCTTAACCTTTTCAATAACTGTGTTGCAAAAAAAATATCCTGTTATGCATATTTCATGCAAAATAAATACAGATATCTATTATTTGTCATTTCCTTATTATCTTCAGGGTTGTTAGGAAACAAGCTACAACCCACTAAGCACAGTTTGTTTGATTGATAGGCACCGTTGCAGTTGTGTTTCTGCGGTACAGCAATATTGGCTCTCTCTTCTCATCATCGCAGAACTTCTCACTGGAGGAAAATTCAGAGCATGGAGAGACAGTAGGGTCATCAGTTATAGCTGTTGCAATTCACTCCACGCCACCTATGCTGTACCCAGTAGAGAAAATAACATTGACTTTAAAACATGCACAGGTAGGTTTTCTTTCTAATGAACACCTGATTAAAAGTAAGCCTACAATTATGTTGTAACAAGGAGCTACTCTGTTTTCATTTGGTTGTTCACTCACACCTATGTCATTTGCTGATATGTGTGTATAATATGATTAGAGGGGAAATTACAATTCTGATTTCCGCTCAGCAAGTGCCAGGGAGGGAGTGTGTTAGCGCTGCAAAGTGTTGATAGGAATTGACAAGACTAATAACTGCATGTTGGTTCTACTACACAATTGTCAATAATTGGTTAGCGTCATCCGAATCTCCTCCTCACCTCTCAACATTCTCCATTTACAAGCTGTGCATCTGTTGCATTTGCCACGTTTGCCTAGAGAGGCGAAAGCAGATGAGCAAAATTTAGCAGGGCACTGAAGTTAATGGCGCTGGTGCTGCATCGCACAAACAGGTGACGTGGTGGGCAATCAGCAGTAGATTGCTGTAATCTGCTGTACGTGGGCTGCCATTAAAGGCTATTTGGAAACTTCAGCTGGTACAGCATGTGGCAGTATGAATGCCTGAGGGGGACAAAGAATCAGATCACATCCCACCTACTGTATTGTGTACCAGTCACACTGGCTGCCTATTGTTTGCGGGTCCTATTTAAAGTGTTATTTATGACCCTAGATGCTTTGTAATCAGGTTTTACAAAGGGCTACCTACATCAATATAAGAATGGGATATTGGGATAACTTGGATGGTGGAGCATGAGACTCTTAATCTTAGGGTTGTGGGTTCGAGTTGGGCAAGAGATTCCTTTACTGCAGGGGTCAATCAAATGGCCCTCACGGTCCCTTCCAACTCTACAATTCTATGCTTGAGCTTGAAGCTTGAGCTTGAAGCTTCTGGGGCTCTGCTCTCTAGCCTGATGATCAGAGGTTGCTATATTCAAAAGATGTGGCCTTTCAGAAGCAGCCTCACATCTGTGGAATATCCTCCCTCAGGAGGTATTTATAGTCCCACCACCGGAAATTTCTAAAAAAAACAATCTTAAAATCTTTAATTTCAGTCTGCTTTTCATTAGCTGCTGTGCTAAGCCTGGATAGAGCCTGGTACTGATAATGCCAAGAGTGCAACTTCAATACCTGTATGGCAGATTGTCCTTCCAAATCTGCAATTCTATTATTATTATTATTATTATTATTAAATAATTTTATTATTTATACCCCACCCATCCGTCTGGGTTTCCCCAGCCACTCTATGATGAAGTTACTTATCATTTTCAGGAGCATAATTTGCTGTTTCTTGTACTATATTGCAATTTTAATGTGCTTGTAATTCATTAACTATCTTGTATCTCTTCTTGGGAGGGCACTGGACCTGAAAGGTGACTCATAGAATCATAGAATCATAGAATCATAGAGTTGGAAGAGACCACAAGGGCCATCGAGTCCAACCCCCTGCCAAGCAGGAAACACCATCAGAGCACTCCTGACATATGGTTGTCAAGCCTCTGCTTAAAGACCTCCAAAGAAGGAGACTCCACCACACTCCTTGGCAGCAAATTCCACTGTCGAACAGCTCTTACTCAAAAGTCTTTTAATCGGGGGGGGGGGGGTAGAAAAAGAACAGTTTCACTGAAAATTTAGAGAAATTCATATAATTACTTTCTTTCCTCCTGTGCTAAAAGACATGATGTTACATAGTGTATGATAGACAGAAGTTGATAGGAAGTAGAATGGCATTAAATCCTGTGATTAAATCCTGACTCAGCCATAAATCCCACTCAGTATTCTTGGCGAAGTAACGATGTATTGACCTTGTCTACCTCCCAGGGCTTTTGTGAAGAAGTCATCATGATTTTTGGGGGGAAGGCAGTCAAGATCCAAATATAATAAATAAATAAAAAGTAGAATATTAAATGGGTATGATTCAGTATGCACCTTTAGCAGGTAAGCTGAGGAAAGGTTTTTGGTTTTGATGTTGTTTTGCAGGAGGATAAGGGCAATAATATGGACAATGAAAGTCCAGACTAGGCAAGCAGTATCATAGCACTTTAAACAGTCATGACTTACCCTGAAGAATCCTAGGAATCATAGAATAATAGAACAGTAGAATAGGAAAAGGGACTCTGAGGATCATTTAGTCCAACTCCCTGGAATGCAGGAATACGCAGCTGTCGCATACGGGAATCAAACCTGCAACCTTGCCGCTATCAGCGCCATGCTCTAACCAACTGAGCTATCCAGGCTGACCTTAGTATAGTTGGTTAAAGATACTGAGAGTTCTAAAGCCCCTCAAAGAGTTACAATTCCGAAAGTTTAACAATCAATCCCTCTTCCCAGCAACTCTGGGAATTGTTGTTCTGCGAGGTAATTAACGGCTTCCTGCTAACTCTCCACTCTCTTAATGAACTACAGCCATGATTGTTTTGATGCTGATTTGAATGTATGGTGCAGATGGGGCCTAAAACAAGAAAGATGGGACATTATTATTATTAATATTATTATTATTATTATTATTATTATTATTATTATGAAGTTATAAACAGCCCTTCATCACAAGATCTCAGGGCAGTTCATAGGATAAAAATATTAAGTAAAAACACAAGTAAACCACTTCCACTTCTGAGTGGGGGCGGGTTGCAGTCTCACCGCCAGGCCCACCCCCACCTCAGCGTTGGGGCGGGACTGAATCCCACGTTAAGCTGAGGGGGCCCGGCCATGCCAGGCAGCGAGTGGTCAATCGGGCAGCTCAGGGGGCATGGCTGGGGCAATATAAACCCCGGCACATCGCTGAATCACCCCTGGGAAGAATTTTTGCTGATGGTGAAGGCCAGGGCGGCCGCCCTCAGCACTGGTGGTGCAGCTGGGTGAGAACAACTTGCCCTCCAGGAAGGGCTTCAACTTGAGACTAAGCATTAAAAAGGACTTTGATGACTTGTCAATAACCTTCCCCAAAATGGCTATTTTATGGTCACAACTCATAGAGAGACACATTTGGCACGACAGTCGCTGCCCAGCTTCCACTAGCAAGGCCAGGAAACTCTTGGATTGTGCTGTAACATGGAAGTTGTTGGCACTGGGTTGCCATGTGATTTGCCACCCAGGAATTGTCTATAACAATGAGGCCCTCTATTGGGCAGATGGCATTCATCTTTCCAGTGGCGGAAATGACGCCTGGTTGGCTGATATTATCAAAGGAATAGGAGTTTGGTTGCAAATGTGAGGGTATTGGCAGCGAGCTTTGGGCTCATGTGGCAGTTAGGCATTGGAATAGCTATATGGGGGGGGAGGTACGGCCATCACCTGCCCCTCCATGCTCAAGTGTATTCCGTTAAAGGAACCCAGGTGTCTGGATCTCTTCCGAAGTCTGCGGAGGGGCTAGGGCCATGCCACGGCCCCATCGGGAACCCAGGGGATGCTTGAGTCGATTCACATTGGCGGGCTCCCCCTACTGGGTGGTTTACCCCTACAGACTTCCTGCAAGGCGGGCAGGAAGTCAGATATAGTCTGTTGGTGCCAATGCCTATACCAATATGGCTCACATTGTATAACCAATAAAGTTGTGGCCTAAATTTTGCCCATTAAGATTAACCTAAAATTCTGTGTCCTAGTGTCTTTATTCTCCTGGGGGGGTGGCTTTGATATGCAAGTAGTTAAAGAAAAACAACAAAACAATGACCTCTCCTCCCACAAACCCATCTCAAAAACTGGAAGGTCAGGTGGTGCAAAAAGTCCAAGGCCTGTAGTGCAGTCATATACACTCTCTGGAAAGAGAAGAATTAGCAAGCCCAGGTCAAAATAAGGCCACTAGAAACGGATGGGAGCAAACATATAAATTGTACAGACATTTTAAAATCAATTATTTGGACTGTTGATTTCTAAAACTCAGGGACAATGTTTGAAAAGAAGGAGAAAGCAGGTGTAGTTTTCCTTCCTCTCTTTAGTCTACCTTCTTTTACCTATCTTGTTTCATCTTTCTGTTCTGATTTTCTTTGTTTTTATTCCTGTGTTTCTCCTGAACCTGAATTATGAACAGTTCAGATTCTGGGTTTTGTGGAATAAAGGCACTGTGATGAATTGCCTCTGCTAATGTAGCAGATACTTCTTATTGAGTGGCTTTGTGCCTCTTGCCATCCATTAAAAAATTTCCTTCTGTTCCAGACTGTAGACAAAAAAGATGTTAAGTGTGCATTTTGGAATTATTCAGAAGACACAATGGAAGGAAACTGGTCTACAGAAGGATGTGAACGAGCACATTTCAATAGCACCCATACCACATGCAGATGCAATCATCTTACCCCTTTTGCTGTTTTGATGTCCTCAAACAACTCTGAAGTTGTGAGTGCTCTTTTTAAATACAGTGTTTATTAATTTCTTTAAATAGTTTGTGTGTAGAACCAATTGGTCTCTGCCGTTAAATTGTTACTTACTTCCTCTCTTGGTCTATCACTTTATTCTCACCGAGCAAATACACAATGGGATAATTCTTTAGCAGCAGTAGATATTTTCATGGTTAGGATGTCCCTGAACTTTACACTGTGAATATTCCATTATAACAATGTAAAGGTAAAGGGACCCCTGATCATTAGGTCCAGTCGCGGACGACTCTGGGGTTGCGGCCCTCATCTCGCTTTACTGGCCGAGGGAGTCAGCATACAGCTTCCAGGTCATGTGGCCAGCATGACTAAGCCGCTTCTGGTGAACCAGAGAAGCGCACGGAAACGCCGTTTACCTTCCTGCCGGAGCAGTACCTATTTATCTACTTGTACTTTGTGCTTTCGAACTGCTAGGTTGGCAGAAGCAGTGGCCGAGCAACAGGAGCTCACCCCATTGCGGGGATTCGAACCACCAGCCTTCTGATCGGCAAGCCCTAGGCTCTGTGGTTTAACCCACAGCGCCACCCACATCCCTATAACAATGTAATGCACATGCTATCTCTTATATGGGTGCTAACTACTCTACTCTCCCCCCGTTTATTATTTGTTTTTAACTGCCATTGAGCATTTTTCAACTCCCATAATATTTATTATCCGTATATTATTCATGCTTATCAATAACCCCGAGACTTAAGTCACTACTATCTTCAGTTTACAAACAGAAAACGGGGCAGAGAGACCATTCACGGTCACTGAGCAGCTATAAAAGTACTATTTATACCACTAACAGTCACAGTTTCCCCCATGATTCCCAGGCACTGTCGCTTGTTAAAGGTGTTGAGAGTTTTTAGGTGACCCCTATTCCCCTCATAGAGGTACCATTCCCATAATGCTTTAACAATCAATCTTCCCAGGAAACCCTGGGAATTGTGAGGGGAATAGGGGCCTCCTAATAATTCTCAGCACCTTTAACAATCTACAGTTCCAAGGATTGTTTCGGCAAAGCAAGGTTGGTTAAAGTGGCATAAACTATGCTTTAAATGTAAGATGTGGAGATGACCACAGAATATGCAATAGGCCTATTTTCCCCAGAAGTAAACCTGACTAAAAAAAATAATATGTATGAACAGACAGAACTTCAGACTTTTGAAAACCATAGTGCTTTTTATTTAAAGAAAAAACAAATGTAGAAAGATACAAAAAAGTGGAAATACTTTATTGTGATGGCCGTGTGTACCCATTTCCAATATGTAGCACTTAGCATTCAACAAAAACAACTGCTGTGTATAATAACATTAATATTAGACAAGCATATATGGAATTGTAGTCATTTGCATATATAGTGATATAACATACATTCTCCCCTCCTTTTAGATTTTTTTATTCACTTTTTTATTTCTATTTTATTTTGTTCAGTTGAAATATTCTCAGTAAGAAATTAAAAAAGAAGTACATAGCTGAGGATCAGATTAAAGGAAGATCGCCATAAAATGGACATGGATTCTAAATACAGGCCAAGTGATCACAGAGAAAAAGAGAGAGAGAGTCAAAACACTTCCCCAAAAAACCCCTCACATTTGAACTGAAATTGTAAGTTGCATTTAGCAACTAAGAAGCAGAATCTGTCAGCATGAAGAGCCCAGCATGTGTCAATGCAATGTGTTTGTGCTAATACTCTCAAGTCGGCTAAATCCTCTGTCCAAAAATAAAAAGCTCCCTCCCTCTAGTTATACTTAGACTCCTTCGCAGCTCATGAGGAGTCCTCAAATACAAGAGTGTGTTTTGCATCTGCGGGGTGTTTACTTAATTTGGGTTTAAAATATTAATCTGAAAGCAAGTGAGGCGCAAGTTACAGGTCAAGAGTGAATTGTTTTCGTTTTCTAAAAATAAAATTAAAAAAAACCCCAGGTTTATGCTCCATCTCTTCGAGTGGGATAATTTTCAAAGCACTTCAAATGATATCCTTTACATTATTCTGTCATTAGGTATTAATGGACAGTTAAATTAATGACAACTACTTGGAAAAGAAATATGCTGGGCTCTATGGCTATTGGTGACAGATAATTGCCAGTTCAATCTGACGATCTCTACAGTCCCTGAAGAAATCGATATCTATATTTATCCAAGCATACCAATGCAAAACCAGATAACAGATAGCCTGCACCCCCACTGCACTCCCCCAAAACCTGTTCTGGGGTTTCCCCCAATCCTCCATAGCAAATTTAGAAGGCATAGGCAGAGGAGGAGATAAATCCTATCGTCCAAGTTCTATTATTTTCCCCTGCACACTTCACTTCCTTGTACCAACTAGTACCTTAATAAAATCTATTAAAAATGTGTAAAGCATTTCAACCAATAACTTGGATGGGTATTTTAACAAGGAGTATGGAGGAGGGAAATGAAATAGAATCAGAACTCCATTATCAAATGAGGTTTTAAAGAAGCTATTCTTTAGCCATTCTCTCCAATATGTTATATTATTATTTCCCCCTCCCAGGATGACAAGAATTATTATATTCTCACAAGAATTACTCAGCTTGGAATAATTATCTCCTTGATCTGCCTCTCCATGTGCATTTTCACTTTCTGGTTCTTCAGCGAAATTCAAAGTACGAGGACAACAATTCACAAAAATCTCTGTTGCAGCCTTTTCCTGGCTGAGCTAATTTTTCTTGTTGGAATTAACATGAACAATAATAAGGTACGTGGCCTTTCCTCATGCCATTTCAAGTTGATTAGGAAAGCAAATGTGTGCTCTAAAGTGCCTTTTTCAGAGGTGCAAGTAGCATTTCCCAGTTTCCCTGTGAATGTAGCTGTGGATATAAAACACTGATTTAAGGATTCCAGGAAATCCCATTCAGAAAGTGTAAGCCTCATTGAAGAGAAGAAAGGGTCTTCTGCCAGAGGTCCACTCTGAGAATGGGAGCCTTAACTAAGACAAAATGGAAGCAGATTTTTAACTGAGTTTAAAGTGTCCATGTTGCAGTAATATCAGAAGGTGTTAATGCCAATTTACTTCGGCAGGGTTGTCCTGGTCTTGTTTCCGTGTAAAAAGGGGCTGCTTATATACATGCCCATGTGGAGCAGGGGGTATATATAAGGTTGAACACATTCGGCGGAAAATATATATATCATCTGCTTCATCAGTTTGTGTATTTCATGTGATTGTAGGCACACAGGCAAAAAGAAATGAGCATGAGGTCTGAGTTTTAAAATGAAATGGGTTTGGTGGTTTCCTGTGTACTTACAGAAAAGTAATGACAGAGCCTGGGCCATTTTCCTATCGAGACAAATTTCCAGTGGAAGAGGTTTTGCTGGTACTGTACTATGACAACATTTTTAACCTGCATTGCAAGATATGGAGTCTTTTATGTTATCCACTTACGCTTTTTTCTGTTTTCCCTTCTAGCTATTCTGTTCAATCACTGCTGGATTACTCCATTACTTCCTCTTAGCTGCCTTCGCGTGGATGTGTATCGAAGGCATTCACCTGTACCTTATAGTTGTTGGAGTAATCTACAATAAAGGATTCTTACACAAGAATTTCTATATCTTTGGCTACGTGAGCCCAGCAGTGGTGGTTGGCATTTCTGCCGCACTGGGATCGAAATACTACGAAAGAACTGATGTGTAATTCATTGTTTACATATTGACTTTAGTTATAGATAGTTCTGACAGGACTTCTTCCGGCATCAGCCCACTGAGATGTGATCGCCTAAGCATGTTTCTGATAGGAAACTATGTTCACATAACAGTGAGTTGCCTGCACACTCCTGTGTACATTATATTGGACTGCGACTACCCATTGAAGAAACGGTTGGCCCAGCCAGCTTTGACGACTATGGTGGTTATTTTTCAGAAAGAGATGTGTGGCCTCTCTGCAACTATGAAAGGTGTATGCAATCTCCTCTTCCCTCAAACAGATTATTGAAGCTAATGCTCACCACCCCTGCCATTTTGTCAGTGCTGTGCACACTGCTATCAATCTAGTCTCTGGATATTCTGAGGCAGTTCTGAGTACTAGATGAAGAAATCTAGCCCCAGACAGATGCACGTTTGGGCACGAAAGCCACACCCACCAGGGTATGAATGCATAGACACTTGATTGCACACACCTGCTTCTTGGGTTGCAGGGAATACATACTGTGATACTTATGGAAATTTTCACTGTTGAGTTCTAGACGCAAAGGCATATGCCCTGATCCAGATGGGTTTTTATGCTTGTGGTAGCTCAGATGTGCAACCCAAGCTGCCATATCTATAAGGAGGTGGGCATATCATGTCTGTACAGAACTGCCCCCTTCCGTGAAATGAATGGTCCTCTTTTCCTTCTGTTGAAACCACAACAAAATGGTTTCCCAGCATTGATAAAAGAATCTCGCAACACTCAGAGGTTGGGGTGGTGTACAACATTATTTTATGATGACTACTATTTCGGGTTTAACATGATATGTTGGGTGAAAAAACATATCATGCAGGGTCACTAGTCTGGTAATTCAGACAATCAGGCTTGTGGCTTCCCTCAGCAATAGGCTTCCCTCAATGAGGAATACCACATATCTAGTGGCCATAACGTAAGAACACAAAATGAGCCCGGTAGACTCAAAGCCTATCTAAGCCAGCATTTAGTTCCCTCAGAGAGCAACCCGATACTTATGGGAAGCCCACAAACAGTGCCGGATTTACATATAAGCTAAACAAGCTATAGCTTAGGGACCCACTCTCTTGGGGGCCCCTAAAAAACTTAAAGGGAAAAAATGCACATACATTTCCAAAATATAAGATAAAAAACAAATAAAATAAAACAGGACAGCTGGACATATAAAGGGCCCCATTACCTTCAGTAGCTTAGGGCCTCATCAAACCTAAATCCGGCCCTGCCACAAGCAGGCCATGAACTCAATGACACACTTCCATTCATGTTCTCCAGCAACTGGTACCCAGAAGCATACTGATTCTGATACTGGAGGTAATATATAGTCATCACAACTAGCAGTCATTTCCAGTCTTCAGAAACACCTGATTCCAAAGACAGGCGTGATTCATCTGTAAGCAAATTTGCAAACATTATGCACTGTTTACTTTTCAGATGTTGGCTCAGCACAAAGAACAACTTTATATGGAGTTTTATAGGACCAGCATGTCTAATCATTCTTGTAAGTATGGCTTTTTTATTATTGGGGTACATAAAATTGATAATAAAAGGTGTATAATAATCACTAACCCATCACTGTCCCACCTGTGAGTGCTAATTATATGGTAAAATGAACTATTTTAGCTGTTTTTAAATAGCCACGCTAAAATATGCTTATCTTTTACGCGCCCAAGTACTTTGCCTGTCTCACAGACATATGTTTGATTAACTAATATTTCATTTGAGGGCCTGTTTCTTTCAACCTGACGGCCTAAGGGAACAGCATTCTCTGTAGCAATTCTGGTATGTAAGATGTAGCATCTTTACATGTCAGTGATATCTCTGCAGAACTCAGCAGGAGGGATACACAGACACTATGCCAGGAGACAGATAATCTGGTATTTCAAATGCTGAGTTACTTAATCTTTTATCTGTGATCGGTCATCTTTGAAGATTAGGCTGTCATCTTTATGATTTTATCATTCGCGTGTACCCTGCCATCATCAAGGCTATTTTAAACAAAATTGCGACATCAGAGACAAAAACCCACTATTTCACATGGGCAGGCAAGTCAAGAATTGATAGCCTCTATTTCTTCTGGGAAAAAGGAGCCTTTTTAATTCCTACTGGAAATGTTTTCAGGTTTGATCTTTCTGAAACTTTTGGTGTCCCATTATAAACAACAGCAGCAAAAATATGGTGTGTGTTTTTAAAACGACAACACGCTTGAGTGCATGAAGATATTTTCAAAGTGCCGCTAAGTTACACATGTAAAAATGGATTGAGATCAAGTAAGAAATGTTAGAAGGCAAAGCGATAGAGCAGATGCTGTGAGTAGGCAATTAAGCTGTAGCTTCTGGTCCTTATTTATTTGTTAATAAAATGTGATTAAAGTAGCACACAATACTGCAACTATCAATCTATAAAGCAGATAGATAGATAGATAGATAGATAGATAGATAGAATCATAGAATCATAGAGTTGGAAGAGACCACAAGGGCCATCGAGTCCAACTCCCTGCCAAGCAGGAAACACCATCAAAGCACTCCTGACATATGGTTGTCAAGCCTCTGCTTAAAGACCTCCAAAGAAGGAGACTCCACCACACTCCTTGGCAGCAAATTCCACTGTCGAACAGCTCTTACTGTTGATAGATGATAGATAGATAGATAGATAGATAGATAGATAGATAGATAGATAGATAGATAGATAGATAGATAGATGATAGATAGATAGATAGATGATAGATAGCTAGATAGATGATAGATAGATATAGATAGATAGATGATAGATAGATAGATAGATAGATAGATGATAGATAGATAGATAGATAGATAGATAGATAGATAGATAGATAGATGATAGATAGATAGAGGGCTGTTTCTAATAGGGATCTGCCAGTTTCAGTTTCTCTCACTTTCTCATTTTTCCAATTTTAAAAACTTCTCCTTTTAACCTTGGTTTTTGGGCCTTAATTTGAAGAATTTGTATTTGTAGCCTGCTTTGTGAGGTGGGGTCTGTAAGACCTGCCTTTTATCAGTACAGTTGCATTGTGAGGTTTTCATGGTTGGTTGCTATACTTGCTTCTTACTGTAATATTGTTTTAGTAAGATGCTTTGAGCCACTTTTGTGAGGAAAGCAACTAATAAATAATCATAAGCATGATTGAATTTACCCACAATTTTCACTTTTAAAATAAATAAAAATCCCTCATTAAAAATCCGTCAACAATTCAGTGTGAATTTCTCCTAATAAACACAATGTTGTGTAGTTTTTGACTATCACTGATATCTCCCCCCAGCAATTCCCCCTAAAATAATGCATATAATATAATCTGTCATTTTCACAAATATATGCATGTTGAAGCACATATTTTCTCCAGTATATGCATTTTTGTACATATGGTTGGATAACTGCACTGCAAAGTTTAGAAAAGTGTGAATTTTCAAAGATATATGTGTTTCAGTTTGTGTATTGGTTCAAGAAGTGTGAATTAAGTAGTTTCTCATGAAAAGGCAAGCAAAATAACGTGCACACCCATCTCTTGTATCCAATGGCATCCCTTACACAGACAGAAGGCTGTCTTTGATCCGACAAAGGCTTCCATTAGTGGAAAGGGAAGGGTTTTTTTAACTGATCTCCTTTCCATACTTCAGCTACTCTGTTCCTATGTGTTCCTTCAACCTTTCAGAGTGGATTGTGGTGGGGTCTTCATCAGGAAAGAAGAATCAAATCCTTATTCCACTAACAGAAACTTTGGTGAACCAATGTGCTGAACACCATTAGGACCAACGTACATACAAGTTCTTTCAGATTATAGGAATTTGTGGCCAAAGGATAAACTGATTTTTCCTGATCCAGGGACCCATAAGTCCCCACACATGCCCAGATGCCTGGAGTTCATGCACACATTCCTGAACACATTAGCAATGATGTTAACCTGACAATCAAAACATCTTGAAATATTCACAAGTAAATATGGCTTAGTACCCAATTGCAAACAAGAATTTCAGGTTGAGGAAGTGAAACGCAATCCAAAATATAATGGCAGCTGTCATTCATTGAGAGGCATTGAGTTATGGGTAACCCCTGCATATAGATTCCGTATGGCAACATTACAAATTTTGTTAACATAAATATTTGCAGTGTTCTGTTTCAGTAAGCTGCATTCCATTTTTATTTTTATTTTTTGTCTGGATGGAGTGAAGAAGCTATTTTGAACAAGATGGCAGGAGTTTTCAGAAATAGGGCACTGTGTTGTTTTATGGAGCAGGAATTAGAAGAATAACTGAAACCGCCAGAATGAAGCTGTGCATGATTGTGGCTTTCAAGCACTAATGGGTTGATAGACTGGAAAGAGAAGTTGCTGAATTGCAACTTATTACCAAACTTAAAACCATGGAGAGACCTGGTCTGAATAGAGACATTGGATTCTTATCTCATTATACATGATAAAGCTATTTTAGCCATCTCACCCCTTGCTTTTCCCTGTAAGACCAATTGCAGTCGTTAACAGTCATCAACAGGTTTACTACACCTATCAGCCGATCACTTGTTCCCACCACCCTTCTGAGTAATACTCCTCCCCACCCAGTGTGGTGTAGTGGTTAAGAGCGGTAGACTCATAATCTGGTGAACCGGGTTCGCGTCTCCGCTCCTCCACATGCAGCTGCTGGGTGACCTTGGGCTAGTCACACTTCTTTGGAGTCTCTCAGCCCCACTCACCTCACAGAGTGTTTGTTGTGGGGGAGGAAAGGAAAGGAGAATGTTAGCCGCTTTGAGACTCCTTCGGGTAGCGATAAAGTGGGATATCAAATCCAAACTCTTCTTCTTCTTCTTCTCTCACTATATATAAGGGTCTGGTGACTTCTGTTTCAGTGTATCTGAAGAAGTATGCATGCACACGAAAGCTTATACCCAGAACAAACTTAGTTGGTCTCTATAGTGCTACTGGAAGGATTTTTTTTTTATTTTGTTTCGGGTAGATGGCAACAATTTCATAGCCTTTTCAAAGCAGGCTTTTCTGGACTTCAGCTCTCAAGTAAAGCACACACAAATATGCCACAGCTTTACTGCTTTCTTAGAAACATGATACCTTTAGTGAGCAGGAAAACAGCCAAGATCCAAAGAACTCCTTGGGGTGCACCAAAGGGCTTGGACAATAGACATGGGCCTAGTGGGACTTTTTGTCTTACTCCATTTAGAGGCTGAGCCACAGAGCCTAGGGCTTGCTGATCAGAAGGTCGGCAGTTTGAATCCCCACGACGGGCTGAGCTCCCTTTGCTCGGTCCCTGCTCCTGCCAACCTAGCAGTTCGAAAGCACGTCAAAGTGCAAGTAGATAATTAGGTACCACTCCGGCGGGAAGGTAAACAACGTTTCCGTGCGCTGCTCTGGTTCGCCAGAAGTGGCTTAGTCATGCTGGCCACATGACCTGGAAGCTGTACGCCGGCTCCCTCGGCCAGTAAAGTGAGATGAGCGCCGCAACCCCAGAGTCGTTTGCGACTGGACCTAATGGCCCCTTTACCTTTTTACCATGCCAAAACCCAACTGTTTTTGAACTATCTTTTCATTGCAAAAGAGAAGTGTTGAAGAAACACAAGTCCAAAGTTCTCTTGGGCAGACAGAACTAGTCACACAGTCCTGTGGATAGAAGGTGTATATTTTAAACACATATTTTTGCTATTGCAAAGGACTGTGTTAGGGAAGTTTAGTGAGCTAGACTATGCTGTGATATTATTTGAAGGCTGCATATAACTTAATGAGTGCATGACTGTAGATTGCATTGGGTACTTCAGATACTTCTTTTGAGGCAAATCTGACATGTCTTCATAGAAAAGCCTAGTTCACCTAGGCATTTCTCTAAAAGCACTTGTTCTTCTCTGAGCATATCAACACCTTTTCCCCTCTAACGTACATACTCATTAATACCAATCTGCCATTAGAATTCTGAAGTGCATGCCATTAGCCTCATTGATCATATCAAGCATTTTTTATTGTTATTCTCTGGGTAAGTATACATGAAAAGGACTGGGTCAGACATTTGATAGATTGAACTACAGGGGGAAAGGAGTATTTTAAACCTGCATAAAACAAGCTGCAAGCTAAAGATAATTTCCCCAACTTGTTTCTCTTAACAGCCTTTCCAGCACTGCAACCAATATATCTAAGGCTGTGTTTCAGATTAGATCAATGCACACAAGTCATGTAGGATGGGGGGGTTGCAATTATCTAATTTTAAAACAGAGTAACGAAGGTGGTGCAGGAGATTGGGAAATAAAGAAAAGCTGCCAGCATAAGTAGGCAAGAATAATTATGATCCATGGACAAGATGTGCTATAAAATGATAGGGTGAAATAATTATTATATTTATTTAGGGGTTAACCCAAACCTTTTCCAGCAACAACAGGGCTTGAGAGACATCACCATTTTGCCACCAGTGCAGAAAGTGGGGGCAGGGACAAATACACTTGAAGTTGAACAGACTTCAAGGCTGGTATGGTGAAGAAGCCTGGATCAGGCCC